AACTTCTTTATTGTGTCAAAAGTGGGGGGGGGGCGTTTTTCCAGGCATGGGCTCTTACCCGGATAAGTACAGTAAGTACTGCATGTAAGCCATACATGGTTTTTCCTAAAATTTAAAGTTGATACCTAACGGATAACAGACCATTATTAATATGATCAGCTTCTCTTTGTCAACTAAATCAACAACAAAAGTACATCTATCATGTAGATTGACCACAGATAGTGACACTTCTAAGTCATTTATGTAAGTGTATGCACTGTTATCTGAGTGAAAATGATAGAAGAATAAACTAGGTTAGTAGACAAACTAATTGTATTGCTATTAGAAGCACACATGTAAAGAAAACATGCATTTATTGCACTCTAAGGTCATTAGAATATGACGTATTTTGTCCATAGACAAACTTAACCTCTTTTTTATGTAATTGCTTGCACTACTAATAAAGCAAATACTGTTTCCATATAGCATGCACTACTAATAGAGCAAATACTGTATTCTTGTATCCAAATAGCATGCACTACTAATAGAGCAAATACTGTATTCTTGTATCCAAATAGCATGCACTACTAATAGAGCAAATACTGTATTCTTGTATCCAAATAGTATGCACTACTAATAGAGCAAATACTGTATTCTTGTATCCAAATAGCATGCACTTTGCAGGATGAGAGAAAGACATAACTTTTTTTTCAGTAACAAACAAACTTGAAATATTGATTCAATATTATTGTTAAATGCTTAATTCTTTACCATACTGAAAATTTGCACAATAAACATGATGTACCAGTACAAGTGTGCCTTTGTTGCAATTTGTGCTTTACATGTTTCAGTCTGTTTTTTTGTTTGTTTTTCTTGGTCATTGATTTTCTCTATTTTCTTCCTTCTTACTACATTTTGTGTCAAATAAAATCTATTATGGTTATTCAACTTTTTTAATGAAAGAATTGTAGCTGCTACCAGCAGATATTTATTATTGGTGGTGATGCTTTCAACAGCGTCATTAAATCGATGTGCCTCAGTTGGTTAATGACAATTTTGGTTGCATGTGCAATTAGCAGTGAACAAATTGAAAATTTAATGGCCAATTTGATATTTAAGTACATGGGAATGTTTTTAATTTATTTTAGAACTAGATTTAAACTATGTTCTGGTAACACCTACACACAGTTGCAGAAAAAAAAAATGACGTTTTCAGAATAGCACCTTTTGGTCTGCTGTTGATGTTGTTTGCGGTGGTGTGGGGGGGGGGGTAACAGGAAAAACGTGCAATTCAATAAAACTGCAATAAAAGTCAATGGTGCATTAAAAAAAATGGTAACACTATATACATCTTGGTATTTAAATATAAATTACTGGAACATTAACTGATATCATATGAATGCCAACAGTGGGGAAACTAGAATTCAATAGCAATTTTGTTTTATACTGTAACCATAAGACATTTAAAAAACAAATTATGGTGCAACAATATACTTGAATGGTTGGTAGGTATATGTTTTTTTCCTCCATTCTTGCATCATGCGATAAGCGGCTGCATGCTCAGTTCTCTCTCTGTAATTCCCAGAATTTGTGAAATTTCATAGATTCAGCTGTTCATGAGGTGTCTATTTATATACCGGTATTAACGTAATGTGAAAACCATACTTTATCCATCCTGGCATGCAAGTGAAAAACTGCAAATTCCTATTCACCAATTCACTGTACAAGTCAGTTACACTTAGTAGTTTTGGAAAACAACTAGACTATTAAATGTGGTACAATGCATGCTGTGTCGACTTATATATTACATTTCAGACACCTACTGACTAATACAGATTATGTTTTATTATTATGTATATATTATTCCTGGTTAATAAAGTTTAGATTGGTTATTAAAAGTCCTTACACTAATTTGGTATTTACATTTGATATCATTCAAAATTATGCAAATAATCAAACGAGTGCGTCTGAATCCTGGGTGGTGATTGTTACTGAACAAAACAAAAAAAAGGTACATGCAGCAAAATGATGTGTATTTTCTGAAACTGAATGCTTCAAATGAAGGCTGGTTATTCAAAACTTTTGGGAAGGTAACTCTGTGAAAAGTTTTCAAACTTTAAAAATTACAGAAATATTTCAAACCATTAAATCTCATAAGTACCCGGTATATACAGTGTATAGATTAGGCGTTCCAAACTGTTTCATTTTGGATAAACAATAGAAATGATTTTAGCATAACAATGACTATAATAAGTATGATTAACTCATTACATTGTTATGCAAATTATTTAATACTTTATGCTACTTTTTGGGGGAGAAAATTAACAAAAAAATTACAGAAAAATACTAAAAATATCATGACTTTCAAACAGTTAAATCACCTTCTAAGTAATTAGAGTTTAAAGAGAGAGAGAGAGGTGTCTGTCATCACAGTAACCATGGTAGCAAACTAGTACAGTTTATGGGATACTCAATGTATTAATAGTGTACTTTATGTAAACCATTTAAATTTCATAGCTAGAAATGTTCATGATTTCAGGATGTTATGAAAACAGAATTTCATCGCTAGAAGTTCTCACTGTTACAAAAAAAAACTTTTGCAATTTTCACTAAATCCCAAAATTCATGAAAACAGTCTCTAGCAAAATTAAAGCGGTTACTCATCATTGATGTAACAGGTAAACCGAGACAGAGGTCAATGACAGATAAACTGAATTACCAATAAAAGATGACTAAGGGGACAGGAAATTACCACTCATATTGTATGTTATAAAGGGCTATTCTTTGAAACTGAAAGGTGACCAAACTGTTACATCCTGAAGGTTACCTGTAGCCAAGTCAAGTAGTCTGGATAGACCGACAATTATTTTCTCTGCATGGCTGGGACCAACACCAATGAGCTCAATAACCTGTCTTAAACAAAGTCAATGAAGCATGCTGTCAGATACATTTCATTTGATACTTAATTAAAATATAAATGCATCCCAACAAAAAGTTTTACTTCTAACATTTTAATAAGGGGACCACCGATGATTACAATATGTTGTCAGGGTGAAATGGGATTAAGGCATGTTGGTGTCAGGTGTGTGTGATTATTTTTAGACTTGTGTATCTATTATACAATGCAAGACCTGAGTTCTGCTTCACCATACACACATTTGTGCATACACCCGTTATGCACACACGTTGTGTTGTCCTCAAATCGGCACCAACACACACAGAAGTATGAATTGTAAACTGAGAAATAAATAAAGCTGGTATTAGCAAATTATTATATTGTCGTTTCTTTTTTTGTGTTTACAGCCCTGACTAGAAGTTCAATTCAAAGAGTTCACAATAAGGATAGTATCCTATTCACCTTTTTCAATTTTTTTTTTCTTCTATTAATTAGAATGGGTAAACTATTTGTATATAAATTAATGAATGAATGAATGCATAAATTGCTTTTTGTCATTTCTTTTTTAAGATTGAGCATTTGAAGTTTACAGACATTATTTCTCTTTTGATAAGAGACAACCATTCCGTACCAACCTTTTTTATCCGGCGTCGTCGTTAACTGCAGTGAATGGTTCATATCCTGTTGCAGTACTTGTGGCCTCTGCTGCTGTTCCAGCCCGTGTTTATATTCCTGTTGTAACGGTTCTTGTGGTTTTGCCTGCGGCTCACGTTGTTCCTCGTGTTTCGGTCGTTGTTGCTGTGGCAGTTCTTCAAGGGGTCGACTTTGACTTATTAGTCCAAGATGCTGGATTTTCGGTCTTTTTGTTTCATTTTCCTGTTGCTTACTCCTTCGCTTATCTTTCTTGTGTTTCGTCGGCGTCGTCTGCGGCGGTTCCGCTTTCTTCTCTGCATCGCTTTCTGCTTTCGGCAATTTACCTGCTTTTTCGGCCTTTGCCTTCGACTTTCTGTGGCTCCGCCTGAGTAGCTTGTCCATGTTGGTGTGGACTCGCTGACACTCCCTTCTTCCAGCCAGCCAGTTATTAAGTTCACTAACCACGAAGGTAATAATAAGAATAAGTAAACAATGAGCTCACCGGAGATGTAGTCTGATCCAGAAACCCAACAATGAGTGTTTTGTTTGTTTCAGGTGAAGGGGTAGTCGAAACATGCAGGACCGCCATATTGGGTCAAACAAGGTGAATAAATCCTACAAAATATTATCAATACTGAAATGTCACACTTAGCTCAGCTCCGTTCAAAAATGCCCGAGTGAAGGTTAATTCATTTGTGTAGCCGCACTCAATATGAATGTATACGCGGTGTGTGAACAATGTAAACAAGGCCAGAGAGAAAATGATCACATCCATGTAACGATCAGCTTAAAGCCAATATAATAAACAACAAGTGAATAATATATACGAAACTTGCATGTCACTGCCTTACCACACGTTAATTATTACTATAAAGTGATCTCTGTCAGTACTACATGCAATGACAGGCCATCCGCGTGCGAAGTCCACCAGTAAGGCATTACGTTACATTAGTCACTGCAAAAAAGTGTCAGCCGTAAAATTTACCTGTTGTTACACACGTCAGGAAATCTCTACCCGACCATAGCTTTCTTGATCCCCCCGTTCATGTCTCTAATTGCATATATTTTCCCCAGAAAAACGGTGCAACATCAGCACGAACAAACTCTCCGACCACTTAGCTGCTTGTTTGAATAGGTGATCACGTGTCACGCTGTAATGATTTCCCTTCCGGTTTAAGTGTGACGTAATACCACGATGGCTACTCGTCTATTACAATAGGAAAGGGCTATGCCAAGCTGGAGGCGCAGTTACATTATTGTATTTTTGGATACGTGGACAAGAGAAGTGTTAGCAGTCGACCATTTCAAGGACTTTGATAGTAATTTGAACTCTCCAATCCAGTATAATATATTCTGATACATGAATGAATTAAATATTAAATTACGTCAAGAGGAAAATGCTGTTATAATACATAATGGCATAAAAATGAGTCAGTAAGACAGTTTTAGCAATGGAGCAAACATATTTTCATCTCAGGTAAGATAGACATGGATAAACGACTAAACATATTGTAATGCGTAATTCTTGTTTTGTTTCAATTTGGAGTATTTCATGGTTTGACCTATTAAAATACTAGTATCGGAGGAATTTAGAAATATAAAATCCACAGAGAAAACAATTACACAAATCCTACACAGTAAAAGTGAGAGTGAAACAATCTAAAACAAATTGAAAAAAAAAGAAATGTTTGTTTCCCTTCCCGGAATTATAGTTTTGTAGACTAACTCAACTTATTTCAAATGCAGTTATTGGTGATATTAAAAAAAAAAAATTGTCCGACATTATGATTATAACGATTATCACTTTTAGTAAGTAATCTTCATCGGTTTAATCTATAACACTGGTAGGACCAGTAACTATAACACAAAAAATATACACATATACTGCCATTCGTTTCCACCTGTTCTACATAAAATGACACCCTAATACTTCCAGGGTTGCATTTTGTAGTTTCATGCTGTGTGACTTTAATTATTACCCATGTACATCGTGTGTCAGCCACGCGTGATGAACACGACCTAGTTGCCTGTAGGATTGGCATCTAGACGTTATTTCAGATGTCTAGCGAGAGTCGATTATTCTTTCTCGAGTTACGGCGTTGTATTTATCTTTCATTAGTGTTTTTAATTAGTGTTAACATGTTCCATTTTTCACGCCCCTCCCTGTTTCTCGTATCACCTCCATAGCCACGCTCCAATCCACTTTCCATGAAGTTACGAGCACACAATTACAAATATTGCAAATTAAATAAACATTTTGGACGACTGAGGGCGCGTTTTATTATTCTTGACATTTAACAGCTCCCACTAAAACAAGGATCAAGATCTCTATCGCGCATGTTTGTTGTCACAAACGAGTTCACCAATAAATGACAACCCAATGTCTTCCCGAAAACTCAAACCTCGCAGTGTGTAAACATATAAAATCTTGTTTTATTTTGACAAGATACACTGGTTTCAATAAGACCATCTACGTTATAAACTATCCATAAATCCATGTCTCCACCTTAAAGGGCGGTAGTCGTCGCGCCACGCATCCACGAGATATATGGGTCTCATATAAACAAAGATGGTGACTTTGACTGTTGCACATATGAACGAATACAGATTGAGAAGTTACCAAGATATTTTTTTAGGTGATAGGAATGTGTCGAAGGAGTCACTGGCGGTAATTAGTGCAAGTCGCGCCCAGGTTAAATCGTTTCCTTGTGATTTCCATTAGAAAAGCGCATTGGGCTGTGGGAAAATCAATGTTTATCAACACAAATTTCGCACATGCGCAACGTGACGACCACGGCCCTTTAATTTATATGAAGATGGATTATTCTATGAAACGAATTCCACTACATTGCGATTTCCAATTTTAATATAATTATGAAGTTTCATTCACGTATATTTAATGATTTTGCACATCACATCACATGTGCTAATAACACAATGGAAGTCTTTGCAGTTAGTGTGTGTGTGTGTATGTATGTGTGTATGTGTGTGTATGTGTCTTTTCCACTGATCTCTCAAGAACCATATGTGTTTTTTTTTATGAAACTCAATGCGTAGATGCTCCGGGGTAATGCGCAGATTTGATTAGTTTTTGGTTGAAAAACCATGCACATTAATCATTTAATTTGCATAATAATTAGCTATTTTTGGCTGTTCCATGACTGTTCTACTGATATCTAAAAAACACTCATTAGATTTTTTATGAAACTTGGGACATAAATGCTCTTGAACAATGTGCAGACTTGATTTGTTGCACATTGATGCACATTAATTACATAATTTTCATAATAATTAGTAAATTTTCAACTTTTCCATTGATATCTCAATTACTAATCATCACATTACAATGAAACTTGGTACATATATGTCATAGGACAATACTCAGACCTACAAGTTTTGGGTTAATATCTGTTTATTAGATACCTAATTTGCATAATTAGTAAATGTTTGGCTTTTCTCCTGATATTTCAAGTTCTATCATGAAATTTGGTACGTAGATGCTCTAGGACTATGCACAGACCTAATTAGTTTTGAATAAATATCTTTGCATATTCAAGCGGAGGAGTCGTCACCTGTGCATGCGTGTGTTGTTATCGGCACTTGGGACTCAATTCCCGCGCGTGCGCAGGTGTCGACCCTCCCACTTTAAACACCTAAATTGCATAATTAGTACGTTTTTGGCTTTCCCCTGATATTTCGAGTACTAATCTTTACATTTAGATGAAACTTGAAACATATATGCTCTACGACTATGCATAGACCTAATTTGTTTTGAATGCAAATATGTGCATATTAATCACATAATTTACATAATGATTAGTTTTTTGGGGGGGCTTTTCCACTGATATCGCACGTAATAATCATCACATTTCAATGAAACTTGGTACATAAATACTCTAAGACAATGCACACATTTAATTTGTTTTGGGTTTATATACATCCATAGACATGATTGATAATGACAAACATGCATAGTGTTTATTGAATTATTATTATTAGCAACTTTCTGATATCTCAAAAAATCAGATTTAAGGTAGAGATGCAGTTTACCTGACAGGTATTTTAATTAGTTAATTAGGAAACCAAGATGACCTCCCTTGTCCACAAAACTATATATTTTCGGAAAGCTTATTGTATGAATTTTAATGTAGTTTGAAATATGCACAAAAAATGTGCTTTTTTGGTCAAAAATTATTTTAAAAAAATAGCTTCTAAACCATGCTTCTGTTTCCTGTCAAAATTGGTTTGCGGGTACATTTGTTTACTATGAAGGAAGTGCGGTTTTGAAAACTGTCTACCAGTTGTAAATTTTGCGGGGCAGCAGCTCAAATTTCACTACTTCAAGTTTATGCATAAATTAACACCCGGACTAGTTGTCTGTACGATTGTTGTAACACTGTTCAACCAAAAACAATGCCCCGACGGTGTTTTGAAAATAAACATATTGTGATAATGTCAAAACAAAAGGTCAAAGCGTCTAGGAGCTATTTTTTTTAAGTTCTGGAATGTGCACTAAAAGAAGCTGAGATAATTGCTAATTTGCATAACAATTCACTCAGTAAGAAGTTTGCTAATGCTCATAATTAAAATGGCTGTAACAGTTCCAAATTTAAATGTATTGTCATTTTGTAAAAAGTTAAATATAGTGCATAATATAGAGATCCCGTCATTTCTTTTTTTCACCATGTTTCTTTTTCATTATTTATGTACTAGACTATACCACCTTGCCAATCTTGCTAAGCATTCAAAAGAGAGAATGTTTGCACCTGTTATCTATATTTTAAAATCGTTTTTTGAGTATGTTCCACTATTCACGATTCTACAAAATTTTACAGTCTATAGCCAAAACTGTTTGGATAATAAAAAGCAAAAAAAAAAATCACTCCCAAGTGCCCACGAACCTGCATCTCTACCATAAATTGAACTTATGGTACAGGTGTTCTTGAATAAATTAAAGTAAAAACCACATATGTAAAATCAAAAGAAGACAAATATTAGTTTACCAAACTTCTTGTTTGGAAGGCTAATTAATTTTTAATATGTCTCAAATACTCTCAGCACACGGGAGTTCTTTCTAAGCTTTTTTTGATTATTAACATGCTGTAACGACTGATTGTTCCTATTGTATCTTCACACAAACGCACAGTTCGTTGAAATGTGCAATCTAATCATCTTGTACAATGCTTCCGTATGGCGTTGGCTTCAGAGATCTACCATGACTGAAGTATCCAATGGGTTCTCCACCAATTTCCTTCTTTGCTTTCTTTTGACTTTTCCTTCTCTCTCTCAACTTTTTCAATTCAAGAACGTATCGGCGCTCTTCGTCAATTGTCGCCTGGTCGACGTTTGTAACGACTCGCAAGACTGTCACCGTTATCAGTGATGTCATCAAAACGAGACCGACGAATATCGCGGCGACAGCCTTGTTGTTTAATGGGTTCGTACTTCGTGTCGACGATAGCACATCCACTGCCAGTAAAACGTTCGTATTGGTACGCAAGCACACACACGTTGTAATACGTATTAAATGACAAATGACTGAAGGTTATATCTATCTCTTCCGTGTCATTCACTGTAATGTGCTCAATCGTCTCATCTTCCGATTCTAGTTGGCTGTATTCGATGACGTAACTCACGTTGTGTTCAGCGATGTTCACTAGGTGTACGGTGAAAGACGACGTTGTAATGTTATCGATCGTCACATTGTGAACGACGCCATCCACAACTTGTAAAGCCGAACACGATGCAACAAGTTGGCAACATATAAACACGTGTAGATAGTTCATGGCGAAACACTGTTGTTTATGTATTTAGTACTTCATTATACTGTAAATAGAAAACACATTATATTATGGTGATAGATCATTATATACATAGTGTCATATCAATAAGTATAAGCTGGACTGCCCTAACTAATACTATTCAGGCATTTCATCTGTACACATAGAACTATACTAACTTATATACACTGCAGTCCCAGTCACTCATACTTTAGCCCTACCTATGTTTCGTGAACATTCATATTGCCAATGTGTGCCAGCAAGCCATCAATATGACCAGCACAAGCAAACAATACATGTGTACAGGCTGCAAATAACACCGTCATTGTAATATATTCCCGTATACTATATAG